TGGATATTGAGTAAACTAAGAACGCTCAAGAACACAACACAAGCTTCACAAAAATGGCTCTCAAAAGCTATGAATAATTAAAGAATGATTTGCAATGAAAGAGTAGGAGTTGTGAAGTAATGTGATGTGTAAAACAGACCCAAACACCCCATTTTATAGTGGAAAAATAGGCTCCAACGGACCAAAGTATTTAAGGGGTGATTGGCACAATTTTTGGGATTTGATAAAATTTGGATCTGCTGAAAATAACCTGGACAGCGCTGTCCAAGGCCTGGACATCGCTGTTCTAGGCTTGCGTTTTGAAAAATGGGAAGCAACGGTCATGCCAACAGCGATGTCCAAAACCCCTACATCGCTGTTTTGGCTGTTGACTTCCAAACAAGGAAAGTTTTAGCCTTAAATTTCCTCCAACGGTCAGGTCTCTACATCGATGTTCCATACTAGAACATACTGTTTAGGTCTGCCTTTGAAGATGGAAGTTTTGGCCTGACAGCGCTGTTGCTGGGTCAACATCGCTGTCCAAAAACTTTCTGCCAATGGACTATATTTTTGGCTTAGGTTGGACAGCGCTGTAGGGAAGCCTACATCGCTGTTCCAGAAGTTTCTAGAAATCTAACCTTGGCTCAACAGCGATGTCTAGTGTCCAACATCACTGTTGGAAGACTTAATGCCAAACCATGTTTTCAGCTACCCAGGCTAGACAATGCTGTTGATTATCTCAACATCGCTGTTGGGCTGGTTTAGCCAGACCCGTGGTTGGTTTAGTCACGCCGTTAGCCGATGTCAAAAATGCAAGTTCTCCAAAATAAAAACCAAGTTTAGAAAACATTTTTATATTGCATTTTGCTAAGAAATCAAGTAAAACATCTTAAAAACCACGTCATTTAGTTGAAAACCACGGCTAGCCAAGTTCGCGCTGTTTTGCATGGTTTTCACTAAACGACCAAAAACGGAAGGTGGTTTTTGAGGCGTTTTTGTTGGGGAACTATTTAAATATGCCCAGAAGTAAAAACCAGTCATGAAAAATTGAAAACCACTTGGTTGGTTCGGATGCCAAAAATCAATGCCGAAAACCGAAAGCCGAGCGCCGGTTTCTGAAAATCGAACGCCGGATGGCTTGGTTTTTGGCTTGGGCGAACTCCAAGTGTTTTGAGGCAAGTTTAAAACTTGAGAAAAATATTTTTGAATATGTAAAAGAGATTTTTATGAATTGAGCCTAGAGAGCAAGATTTGGAATTTTGTGCCGGTCTTGATCACATTAAGACCGACTCAATACAATTCTAGTTCTTCGTTCTTGGTTCTGGGTTCTTGGTTCTCAAGTCATCATTCCATGTTCCTTCGCCTTAGTTTTGCTCACTTTAGCTTTGATATGTCGCGGCGGTTTGGCATTATCAAAACCTGTCATAAAAGCGAACACAGTTTAGTACGACGTAGGCGTAAACCCGTGTTCCAACATGGGCCACCTCCTTATCTCTACGCTTCCCATTCTGAGCATTCCCGGGACTTCCCGCATCACCATCTTGTATGAACTTCTTCAGATGGCCCCGACGGATTAGCCTCGCCATCTCATTCTTCAGGGTATAACAATCCTCTGTGTTGTGATCATTCTTGTGATGGTAAGCGCACCATTTTCCAGTGTCCTCCACATTACAGACCTTCTGAGAATAAGTTGGATAAGTCATGAGTCCCTGCTGTGCAGCATGAGCCATGACCTCAGCCACCGGCAACGTGAAGACTGGATTGGCAGATTTGTGCTTTTCCGAGGTCCCAAGGCTTGTGTCCTTTGGGCCATTCGGGAAACCCTGCTTCTTGTTCTTGAACGGGTTCTTATTTCCCGCCTTCTCTTCTTCTTTGGGAGTCTTTTCTTTCTTCTCCTCCTTTCTCTTCTCCAGGGTCACATACCTCCCGGCCCAGACCATTGCTTCCTCAAAGGTATCCGGGGGATGAGGTGTAAGATTGGTATAAAGGAGACCATCTTGTAATGCCGCCCTGAACATGGCCAACCTTGATTTGTCATCGGTTGTTCCTTCAACCTCCCTGGACTCTTTTCTCCACCGGATAAGGAAATTCTTCAAGGATTCTCCGTGCTTCTGACGCACCGAGGCCAGGTGAGTGAAATGCTTCTTGGGACGGCAGTTCCCTGCAAAATGCTCTAAGAACTGCAATCCCAATTCATCCCATGTCCGGATTGATCCGGCAGGAATGTGTTTCACCCAATCCGCAACCTTGCTATCTACTGTCTGCAAAAAACACCAACACATCAATGCGTCGCTGGCATCAACAGCAATCATCACCTGGACATAGCTGTTTATGTGTTCCTGGGGATCCGATTCCCCATCGTAACGCTTAACGAACGGCATCTTGAATCCCTGCGGGTATGGTTCCGCAAAGATTTCCGGGGCTAAGGGATTATTCGTCCGGGTAGTGAATACTCGTCCCCTGTTTATCTTGCTCTGCATCTCCTGGATCTGCTGCCTCAGATCATGGAATTCGCCCGCTTCCGGTACCGGCGGCCCTAGACGCTGCGGTGCTGGGACCCTTACTTGGCTCTCAACCTCATCCTCATCCAGAACCACCAATGTCCGCACTGGCACTTGGCTGCCACCGCGGCCGGTTCGTTGCTGGGGTTCGCGGTTAGAAGATGCCACCTGGCTAGGCTGGGGTCGCATCCAACCCTGGGGTGCTTTGTCCGGATTCTTCCCCAGCCTCTCACTAACGTGAGTCTTCTGGAGAGATATCCTTTCAAAGACAGTTCCCCGCGGGTTTTCGTTTCTATTGCCGATAGCTTGGCTTGCAGCCCTGGCCCAGTCTCCATTCACCTTACTATTCCGGGCCAACTCCTCCGCGTGGCGTCTAGCGACGGCCTGTCTCTCCCTCTCAACCTCCTCCAGATCATGAAGCTCCTAGAGGATAGGAGAACTCGCAGTATGCAGGACCTGGCGGGGTTGCTCGACAGGGACGTCCCGGGTACCGGATGGGCCAGGGAGAGCCTTATCCAATCGTTCCATAATGTTGGCCATCATGTTACCCACATTATTCAACGCCGTTTCCAACCCATTGAAAGGGACGATCATACCCTGTTCAGGATTGTCACTCCTCACCGTCGACTGGGCAGAAGCGGCGGCATTACGTCTCGTCCTTCGTCCGGCCATAATTTCACAGCCTTATCTCACAGTTACTCTCAATGAAAGCACCAATGATGGGATTAACCCGATCAGATGGCGGACCAAGAACGTTATATGGATCAGAAAGATATAATCACTCAATAATATTCTTTTATTAAGTGTAGTATTACTTGATGTTCTCCCTCCCTTTACAATGGTGGGTTCTCCCCCTTTTATAGTACTTCTAATATTGGAATTAAAATTATACAAAATGGGAGGAATTATGGAGATCATGGGGTGGTGATTCCCTCTTTTCCGGTCTCGTTCTCTTGCCATATCGTCCACAACTCAATGATGTGGGCCACGTGTCCCACTCCTTCCTTGGACTGGGTCATATTGATTTAACCCATGATTGGGCCGTCTTCTTCCATCTGCCACACGCGTAGCAACGGGCTCGGCCCATTACCCCCGCCTGGCCTTATTCGACTCGCGCTATTATGGGCCCTTATTGGGCCTGAAGTCGGGTCCATTAGACCCGGTATCCATCAGTTGTATACTCCCTTCGTCCAAAATTAAAGTTCTCACTTTCTTTTTCAGTCCGTCCACAATTAATGTTCCTATTTCTAATTTTAGAAACTTTTATTTGTCAAAATGTCTCAAATACCCCCCACTTATTAAACTCCTTTTCCTTTTTCTTTTCTCCTCCTGTCCTTCCGCAGCCCCCTCCCCCATTTCTCTTTTCCTCTTTTCTTCTCCCTTCCTTTCTTTTTCTTCTCTCTTCTTTTCTTCTCT